GAGATGGGAAGGCAGAGAGGGTTAGGAGCTGGTTGAATGGACATGGGAAATCAGGGGTGGAAAGGAGGAGTGTGCTGTCACACGATGGGGAGAGCAATTAGGGTCACATAATGTTTGTATAAATTTTTGTATGGGAGACTAACTTAAAATGTAAACTTTATCTAAACTACAACAATTAAAAAGATAAAACTCTGTATACAATTTAAAATAATTTAGATGAAAAACAGGAAAATTAATCAGCACCAACCAGCACTATAATAGAACATTTTGTATTTGCACTGTCCAATACGTGGACATACGTCTGAAATATAGCAAGTGCGACTGAGGAATTGGATTTTCATTTTTATTTAGCTAAGTTTAGACAGACATATGAAGTGGTTGTTGGCTTGTAAAGCACAGTTCTATACCTTCTCAGTTAATACAGGCTTTACTAATTTCTTCCTATTATTTCACTGACTATTCTTATAGTAATTCTCTGCCTGATATGAATTCAGAATTTACTGAAATATCTCTCAGTTCTTTTTCTATTTCTTTTTACAAATGGCTTAGCTTCTTCTCACACTACATAAATGACACAATTATACATTTATAGAAAAGAAGAATTGTATTCCCACATTAATATCCATACTCTAAGGAATTTTTTCCCTAAATAACCCTTCAGGTCTTGTAATACTGATTTACAGAGATTTAATACATTAATACTTTAGAGAAAAACAATACATTTAATACATCATAGAAAAACAAGAGCCTAGAGAAAAGAGATCAGTATAAGAAACCTGTCATTTCTTCTCTCAACAAGTACACAAACATGTACAGAAGTTACCAGATTCAAAAATCTCTTTTGTAAAATACATTTAAATGTATTTCATTTAAGTCCAATATAATAGATGGCTTTTACTAAATAGTACTCTGCCCATTAAACTGCTGATGAGAAACCAATAATATTTACTGAGTGATACTGCAGATAAATACTCTTTAACAAGTGCATAAAAATAGTAAATGTAAGTATTAAAATAGTAAAAATAAATAGTGATAAATGTAAATCTTTCTGAGAAGCTTAGAAATCGATGAGGAAGCCAATTTAGATGGAAACATTCAAATATGATGAGGATAAACATATACAGCTCCACTACAACTATATTCACTTTGAAATTTCCACTCTCAGGGCTTTAACCTATGGTAAGATTTCACCAAACTCTATCTCTAGCCTTCTGTCCAAGGTCCAGATCAGTATGTGTACATGACGGGATCTCTTATGCAAGCCTTCAGGTCTAACAGCTTATAAAACAAAAATTGCAAATGAGGAAAAATTACTCTTAAGAATTCCTTATATCACCCATAAAAATATAGCATAATATATAGTTTCATAAAAGCCTGAATAATAAATGTAGAAAATACTAGTAGCATACAATGTGTGATAAAGAGCATATATGAAATCTGTAACACTTTTATTAGTATTTTTAATTTTCATGAAAAAGAGCATATAAAGATGATTAAGTTAAATCCACATATGCTATGACCCCACTGTATCCAGCTGCATCCTGAACATCTGTGCCTGCATGTACCACAGTCATTTCAAACTCAACGTGTCCAAGATGAAATCTATTAGTTCCCTTCCCAAAAGCAGTTAAAAAATGTAATCCTCTTCTTACACTTAATACCTTTTGTTTTACCAAACTATCTCTACTCCAGGCCTCAGTTATGTGATCATCCCACAAACAATTCTTACGCCACTTCACTCCTAAAGACCTCTACTGCCCTCCCTTTGTCTAAAGTCCAAATGCCTTCAAATTCTGATCCCAAGTAACATCTCTAAACTCACCTTCTACAACTTCCCATTACCCTCATTTCAGTACCACTGTACTTCCAACCATTCCCTGAACATGACTATTCAAGTATCTATACGTTTGTATACATTATTTTCTCTACCTGGAAAAAACAAAACAAAACATCTCTTCTTTGAAATCCTTACCAATTACCAAAGGCAGTAACTCATTCATTCCTTTCTCTGTGCTTCTGGAGTACCCTGTCAAATCTCAGTTATAAATCCTACACTGTACTATAATTATTTACATGTTTGTCTTCCCCATTAGACTATGGGCTCCTTGCTAACTCATCCTTGAATTTCCTGTGCCAAGCACAATGAAAGAGCCCAACAAAAGCTAAGGAAAATATAAATGACAAAAAGCTAAGGGAGACTGGTTGGTGGAGTCTGAAAAGGTTTTAGGAGGGATGATTCTTAAAGGCATGTGTACAGGAGAAGGGAAATGTAAGAACCATCAGGACTGAAACTGAAACAAATATTAGTCAAAAAAGAACAACATTCTGGATGATTAAGAGATTTTTAAAAAGCCTAAGAGAGGAAGTAAGAGTAATAGGTAGGTTTGTGGTTAAAAATAAACAATCATTCAAATATTATATTACTAACCAAAGAGTTCAAAAATATAACAAAAAGTATCAAACAATATATTAAACATATTTACACATAAGAAAAACAAAAAATACGCAAATTAATAGAGTATCTTATTTTGCAACAGTAAGTAAATACAGACCTCCCACTGAGTGATCACATTTTTCAGTTTCTGGATTTCAGCATCTTTTCTTTCAAGTTCCAACTTTAGTCTTTCAATTCTTCCATCTTTCAGAACCACTTCCTAAAAAAGAGAAAAATACTATTTTAAGACTGGTATCATTCTGGCAATTCTGGTTTAGGATAATCTCTTGTGAGAAGTTTAAGACGGACAATCCTAATTCTAATTCACTTTCTAAAACAACCTTAAATGGTTGAACTGTATTTCCATATATCTAAACTTCTAATGAATCACAAAATTCTAATTATGTACACTGCAAGCAAGATATTTATGATTAACTGCAAACTACCAACATAACCCAGAACAACATCAGAGCTCTGAAATGATATATTCTATCCTGGAATAAAGATATTAAAAGTGTTATGTAACAGGTTGTTACTATTAATCTATCTTGAAAATTCAAAATAAATTTTTAGTAATCTAAAAAATACAAAATAAATAATAAAAGGTACAAACATAAAGAGCTTTACTCTATATCAACAATCACCAGTTAGAAGACACGCCTGGAAAAAATAACTTCCTCCCAAAAGCAATAAAAAAAAAAAAAATTCCTAAGAATAAACTTAGGAAATGTTTAGGATCTATACTAAGAAAATTACAAAACTTTAGAAAAGAACACAGAACAAAGTATGTCTGTAGCTGAAGACTAAGTATCACACTGTAAGTTCAATAAAATCTCAACAGAAATTCCAATAGGATTTTGTTCTTTGTAACTTAACAAGATAGCCAAAATTTCATCTGGTAGAATAAACGATGGAAACAAATAACAAGTTAAAGTTACGAAGAGGGTTGTGCCCCACCAAATAACTGTACATTACAAAGCAAAAAAAAATTAAAATAGTGTGGTTATGGCACCTAGGTCGACAGAGCAATGTACCAGAAAATAAAAGTCCAGAAAGAGACTTAAGAAAATATAAGAATGTATTATAATATAGAGATATTTTAAAGAAATGGGAAAAGGCTGGATTACAGAAATATGGTAAGTTACAGGATGTACAGCTAACTGGGAAAAATCAAGTTAAATTCCCGTCATCTTGCACCATATACCAAAATAAATAACTTTAAATATAAAAAATTAACCCCAAGTCATACTTTTGATGAGCATGAACTGGTTTTATTTATCTAAAAAGTAATGCGGCAACATTAACTTATTCCACAAATACTCACTGAGCATCTAACTGCTAGGTGGTGAGTGTACGATGGTGAAAAGAACAGAAAAGATTCTCACCCTCATGGGACTTGTCTGGTGGAAGAGGCAGATATCACATAAACAAATATTGTAATTACAAACCAAAGGATAAGCTATGAAGGAAAGAAACACAGTGCTACGAAGGGAAAAATGCGGTTTATTCCCTTGTGAATCAGGGAATTTCTCTCTGAGGTAGTAATACTTTAGAGAAACCCTGAGTGATGGGTAGGAATTGGCTAATTAAAAAGTGGAGTTAAGAGCCTTCCAGGATCAAAGAGCAGCATGTTTAAAGACCTTGAGGCAGAAAAGAGCCAGGAGGATTGAAGAAAAAAGGAGGCCAGTGTGGTTGGAACATAGCGAGGGAGAAGATGGTACAAAATGATTGATCCTGGAGGGCCTTTGAGGCTGCAAGTAAAAGGCTTCATATTACTCTGCATAAAACAGAAAGTCAGTGAAGATTTTGAGCAGGATTGTTGTATGGTCAGATTTATGTTTTTAAAGGATCACTCTGGCTGCTGTGGAAAATATATTGGAGTGGGCTAAGACAGAGGTGGAAAGACCCTTTAATTGTTACTCCAAGTCCAGATCAGAGATGATTACGCCTTTGATTAGGGTGAAAGCAATTCAAATGGAGAAAAGTGTATTTGAGAAATAATTTGGAGGCAGAACATACAGCTTTTGATGAGATTTAATATGGCAGGTGAGGAAGAGAGACACTGTAATGCAAGTTTCTATTTTTAAGGAAAAAGGTGAATAGACAAAAATTAGAAATATATATACACTTAGGCCCAGGAATCTCACTGCTAGTAATTTATCCTAAAGTAAAGAGCTAAGTGGCTGGGGGAAAGTATCTATAGGAGTGTTCACTGCAGATCTGTTTATTACAACAAAAAATTTGGTATTAATTTAAATGTCTAATAGGATACAGGTTAAATATATGGTAAATTCACAAACTTCAAAACTCTATAGTCACTAAAAATGATGATACAGAACTACAACATATATTCACATGATTTCAAAATAGTAGTAATACATGCACAAACATTCTGGAAGAGCATACACCAAAATTTTAATAATAAAACAAGATTTTTGCTTCATTGTTTAAAAATTTTACCTTCTATGAAAATTATTTTATATTTTGTACATAATCACTGGAGCTCTGGTGGCATAGTGGTTAAGAGCTCGGCTGCTAACCAAAAGGTTGGCAGTTCAAATCCACCAGCTGCTCCTTGGAAAATTTATGGGGCAGGTCTACTCTGTCCTGTAGGATCGCTATGAGTTAGAATCAACTCAACAGCAGTGGGTTTGGTTTTTTCTTTTTTATGTAATCACTAATATAAAATACTATTTTAATTTTGGAAAAAAATAAACCACATAATTATTAAAATAAAATCTACATGAATATGAGTATTATCTTTGAATAGGAACGTCTGATTCTGAACATGATACTAAAGGCAGAAAACAAAAAGGCTGATAGATTTAACTTGATAGAAATATAAAAAAATACTATAAACAAAACCAAAAGGTAAATAAAAAAAACTGGGACAAATAGTCACAACCTATATGACAGGCATATGGTCAATAAATGAAAAAAAAACCCACAATCTCCCTCGTAAGCAGGAGAAATATTTTATCAAACTGGTAAAAAAAAAATTTTTCTCAATAGCTTAGTACTGGTACAACAATAGACACATACGCCAATGGAAGAGAATTGAGAACCCATACGTAAACCCATCCACCTATGGTCAGCTGATCTTTGACAAAGATCCAGTCCATTAAGTGGGGAAAAGACAGTCTTTTTAACAAACAGTGCTGGCAAAACTGGATGTTCATCTGCAAAAAAATGAAACAGGACCCATACCTCACATCATACACAAAAACTAATGCAAAGTGGATCAAAGACCTAAATATAAAAACCTAAAATGATAAAAATCATGGAAGAAAAAACAGGGACAATGCTAGGGGCCCTAGTACATGGTATAAATACAATACAAACCATAACTAACAATGCCCAAACACCAGAAGTGAAACTAGGTAACTGGGGGCTCCTAAAAATTACACATTTATGTTCATCAAAAGACTTCACCAAAAGAGTAAAAACTTTTTGGCTACTACATATCTGACAAGGATCTAGTAGAATACTTCAGCACCTCAATAACAAAAAGACAAATAACCTAATTAACAAATGAGCAAAGGAAATGAACAGACACTTCACCAAAGAAGACATTCAGGCAGCTAAAAGATACATGAAGAAATGCTCACAATCATCAGCCATTAGAGAAATGCAAACCAAAACTACAATGAGATACCATCTCACCCCGAAATTAATGGCAAGAATCAAAAAAACAGAAAATAGCAAATGTAGGATAGGTTGCACGAAGACTGGAATCTTATGTGCTGCTGATGGGAATGTAAAATGGTACAACCACTATGGAAAACGATATAGAGTCTCCTTAAAAAGCCAGAAATACCATACAATCCAGCTATCCTGCTTCTAGGAACATATCCTAGAGAAATAAGAGCCACCACATGAAAAGACATAGGCACACCCATGTTCACTGCAGCATTATTCACAGTAGCAAAAAGATGGAAACAACTTAAGTGTCCATCAACAGATGAGTGGATAAACCAATTATGGTAGATACACACAATGGAACCCTATTCAGAGATGAAGAACAATGATGAATCTTCAAAACATCTCACAACATGGATGAATCTGGAGGGCATTATGCTAAGTGACATAAATCACAAAAGGACAAATATTGTATGAGACCACTATTATAAAAACCCAAGAAAAGGTTTACATACAGAAAAAAACAATCTCTGATGATTACAAGAGAGGGGAGAGGTGGGGAGAGGAAATCATTAACTAGATAGCAGACAAGTGTTAACCTTGGTAAAGGGAAAGACAGCACATAATATAGGGGAAGTTAGCACACTTGACCAAGGCAAAGCCATAGACACTTCCTAGACACATCCAAACACCTTGAGAGACCAAGTTACTGGGGCTGAAGGCTGGGGACCATGGTCTCAGGGGAGGGACATCTAGGTTAACTGGCATAATATAGTTCACAAAGAAAATGTTCTACATCCTACTTTGCTGAGTAGTGTCTGGAGTCTTAGAAGTTTTTGAGTGGCCATCTAAAATACATCTAATGGTCCCATCATGTTCAGAGCAAAGGAGAATGAAGAAAATCAAAGACACAAGGAAAATATTAGTTCAAAGGACTAACAGACCACATGAACCACAGCCTCCACCAGCCTAAGCCCAGAAGAACTAGATGGTGCCCGGCTACCACCACTGAACACTCTGGCAGGAATCACAACAGAGGGTTCCTGACAGAGCAGGAAGAAAATGTAGAAGAAAATTCAAATTCACAAATAAAGACCAGACTTACTGGTCTCAGAGAGTCTGGAGGAATCCCTGAGACTATAGCCCCCGACCACCCAGCTAGCTCAGAACTAAAGCCACTCCCAAAGTCCACCGTACAGCCAAAGATTAGATAGGCCTATAAAATAAACAATAGCACACGTGAAGAATGTACTTCTTAGTTCAATCAAGTATAGGAGACCAAATGGGTAACACCTGCCCAAAAGCAAAGATGAGAAGGCAGGAAGGGACAGGAAACCTGGGGAACCCAGGGCGTAAAGGGAAGGGGGAGAGTGCTGACACATTGCAGGGATTGCAACCAAAGTCACAAAACAATTTGTGTATAAATTTTTGACTGAGAAACTAATTTGAGCTGTAAACTTTCACCTAAAATAAAACTAATCCAAGGAAAAAAAAATCATGAATATGAGACCAAACAGTCAACAATTACTTTAAAACAAAGATGAGAAGATAAAGGGACAGGGAAACTAGATTAATGGAAAT